CGCCCGCGCAAGCTGGTCTGTCTGCGCTACCGCTGCTCGAACTCGCCCCGCAGCTTCTCGCTGTCTGGGCGAGAGCGCGCTAGCTCGCGCGTTCACCAGGCTGGATTGTCGACAGACCACCGACCCGACCTCGTCAAAATCTGATGCTTGATTTTGGAAAATCTGTCAACTCACAAAATCGGTCAAACTTGATTTCGCGTGTACTGCCTACTCCTTTGTCTATGTTCCTGACTTTTGTCTGCTTGCGCTAGGATCTGCACTCGACGGCTCGCTTGATGGAGGTAGTTCATCCGCTCGCGTTTCAGATCCTGTCAGATTCTATCAAATTTTTTGTGGAAGAAATTTCACAATTGGAGTTGCCTCATCCTCTTTGATTTGATCCTCAAAACAGCTATTGATCTCTTCTCTTCGACTCGATTGTGGATATGATATGTTACAACAAAAGTCTTGAGTTTAAATCCTTCATATTTGACCTTATTCATGCAGACTTAGCTAATTTCCATGGAAATTAGCTAAGTTTCGAACCAAGAAAATATATCCGGTCAGATTCATCTGTAGAAGTAAGCTCGGCCAGTATAGCTGATCCATTCCCTTCAATCGACTGGATGTTTGCAAACTTTATTATCTTAAATGGAAACCGACCATCTAATGCTCATTCATGCCCCTTGCAATCGAATTGCACATGAGCCCCATTCCAGTTGTGAGCAAAATCACCTTTTTCCCCGGTTGACGGATCTAGCCAATAGAGTGAATACTTTCTGGAAACTCATAAGAGAAGTTTGAACCTAGTGATTACAGTATTACATTTATTTTTCAAAAAAATATTTTTCAAAAAGTTGCCGTTGGAACTGGGATGATCCGCTTTACTTCCGAGGTTGTGGGACCTTCGGAAGTAAAAACTGTCACCGTCCACTTCCTAGTAGTCATGTTGTACACCAAAGCCCGATGCGACCAGAACAAGCTTGAAAGGAAAATGATATGATCCCCTTGCCCGTTCCAACTTCCTACGTACCTTCTTCCCTTCTGGTGATGAAACAGCTCCTGAAAGTCCTCTTCGTTGGGGGGCACGGAGACTGGAATTTCGGTCCAGATGATGGAGTCAGGGGTGATTGATGGATTCCATGAATATATTCTAGGTTTCCATCCTAGAGACGTCCTCCAATCCGCATCTTCAGTCCGAGTCAGCTCCGCCAGTACCAGTGCTCCATCCCTTTCGAACGTCTTGATGTTCTGAAAAGTTGCCAGACCTTGCGGCAGATTACCAGCCAGCACCTTCCAAGAGTTCTCCTTCCAATCAAATGAGAGGTGAGGCCCATTCCACTCCACAGCAAAATCCCAGTTCTGCAACTCCGCCGAGGACTCAAAATCGCCGATCCAATCTTGTAGATGGCCAGAACTCAGAAAGTAGTAGACGCAGTGACCAATTGCGATCGGCATGGCGATACATTGCACACAAGGTTTCACCTTCAGGTCTGTATGGAAACAAGGACCTGCTTTCCACTGCTTTGATACGGAGTCAAATAATTCAGTGTGCAAAGAAACGATTTCTCTGCAAGGGCATCCTCTCTCGCTGCAATGCATCGCTACAGAGATCAACGTGAAGCTGGAGGTCTCTTCGTCCACCGCTAATGATAGTATTCCCTTTAGCTTCGGCATCACGATCAGGTCAGAACTTGGAGATATCTCTGATATAGACTCTGAAGATGGTCTGCAAACCAAGAGACCGGACGCTTCTGGATGTTTTGTGACTCCAACGTACAACAGATGCCACTCCTTATGACGAGACTGGAGAAAGAACTTCTTGTTGGTTGATTTGAGGAATGAAACTGGACGTGAGTACCATCTGTTGAGCAGGGGGTTGTAGATCTGCACTTTTGTGCAGTTCACATTGTCTGCACACAGATAGAGAGGGTTGGAGATCCACTCCATATTCTTGATTCGTCCAAATCGATAAACAAGTTCCAAGAGCAGAAAATTCGTTTTCACCGAATTTGGAACCTTGCGTCTGATCATCGAGAAATATGGAGAATCGATTAGAGATTTCCATTGCTTGCAAACGATTCTCAACTGGACCAAGTTCTGCATGGGCAGGCGAGCTAGGATCATTTCCAGGAGTCCGTCGTGTGCATGAAGCTGACTCCATATTTTCACGTCCATTGCCCCCCTCCTCCTTTAGCAACACAGATTTTTGCGTAAATGGAGTGGACACATGCCTCGCCCTTTGCTGAACATTATATACTGTTACATACAAAAGAGTAGGAGCACGCCGGCACAGGTCTCGAGCGGAATCTGGAACGTTCGCCTTGGCTTGTCGGCTATGTGATGCCGATCGGAATATTCAGTTCGAATGTGCATTTCAAGATCATAATGCTCGTTCGAGACGAGGACTTTTCTCGCGCCGTAAAAAATCGACAACAATTTCCAACAGGAACTTCTAAATATATCCGTCGCGTAAAATCTACCTAAATCCAATGAAGCGAGTCAGCTCGTACGCGCCCTGTGGCGGATGAGCTGACTGGATTGTAGCGGTCACCTGCTTTCGAAATCCATCGCTCACGGCCTCGTTCATGGCGCCATATAAGTGCGCGAGAAGGACCGATTCCGAAAAGTTCACTTATCGAAATAAACTCCCGATTTGGTCTGGAATTCTGTGTTGCTGAGGTTCTAAAAGCCGATCGATCTACGCTGTTGACGAAGAATCAAGTATTCATCTGTCGGTGGGAGGCTCACAAGACTGCAGTCCTGATGGCGTATAAGAGCCGCGAGGAGGAAGAAAGGGCGGAGGTGGAGATCTGGAGTCAGCTTGACGTAGATGGTAGACTCTTGGGAATGATCCTGGCTCGCCTGCCCGTGCCAAAGTTGCTCCAGTTCAGGACAGTTTGCAAAGACTGGAAATGTCTCATTGATTCTTCGTATTTTTCTGAGATTAGACTCCAGGTTCCGAGTTGCGTGAAGATAAATTTTTTGGTCTTGGAACTTCGTTATCCTCATGGTTATTTCAATCAATTTGATCGGCTCCCCCTTTGTCCTCAATACTGTGCAGTCAATATAAACTGTACAAACTTGCGCATGTATGACCCTGTTCTCGATACTTGGTACAGAGGTCCGTCTTCATTCCTCACATCCACAGGGCATAAACTCTATTTACAATCACATCATAAGGATTATCAACTGTTGTACGTCGTATTAGAAAATGGACGAGAAGGATCCGGTCTCTTGGTGTGCAGACCAACCTCAGGCTCTATATCAGAGAGATCTTTGAACTCTGATCGCTTGATTGCTATGCCAAGATTATCAGGGCTACTGTCATTAGTGGTGGACGAGCAAACTTCCAGCTTCAGGTTGATCTCTGTAGCGTTACATTGCAGTGAGATTGCATGCCCTTGCAAGGAAACCCTGTACTTTCACACCGAAATCCTTGATTCTGAATCCAACGAGTGGAAAGCAGGACCTTTTATCAATACAAACTTGAAGGTTATACCTGCTGAACAGCTCATCGCGATCCCCACGGTAATTGGCCACTGCGTTTACTACTTTCTGGGTTGCCGCCGCCTTGAAGAACGGATTTACAGTCCTGATTCACCTGCAGAAATTGAGCACTTCGAATGTTCTGCCGTGTGGAATGAGTTTCACTTCTCATTTGACTGGAAGAGGAGTTCTTGGACTAAAGTTGCGGGTAATCTGCCTCATGGACTGTCAACTTATCTCAGCGTCAACACTTTCGAACGAAATGGATCAATCGTACTTGCGGACCTTACCCGCACTGATGATTCTGTCTGGAAAACGTCTCTACGATTGAAACTTAGACTTAATTCCTGGAATCCTTCTGTCAACCCTGACTCTATCACTTGGACAGAGATTCCAGTGTCTGTGCTTCCCAAAGACGAAGACTTTCAAGAGCTCTTTTCTGATCAGAGAGGAATCAGTTATGTAGGTTTTTGGCGTGGTCACGAAGACCATCTCATTTTCTTCTCTGGGTTTTTGTGGTCTCATCGGGCGTTGGTGTACAATATGACAAGTAAGGATTGGACACTTTCAGAGTTTGGTCCCAAAACCTCAACCTCTCTAGAACGGTTCCTGCCATTGCCGGTAGAAATGAGATAATAGAAATCTTCTCTTTCATGTTCACGTATATGTAGTTCACATCCTCACTGTACAACCGTGGAGGACTGTAGTTTCTGAGCAGAATTTTGAAACAGAAACAGGAGTAGAGGCAAGAGGCTCCAGTCCTCCACGTAGATTCACACTAGATTGTGATTTTCTAAGGAACTACTATTGAAGTCTAAATTCGAAATCTGGAGGTGTGATTGGTACATTCACATGCCAATCATCATCAGCTGATCAACTATTGCAGCCACCGTCGTGGAATACCTTTAATTCAAATGCTTCCAATTCCCAACAATTTCTTCGTGCGGTTTACATCATTCTTTGTAGAATGTGTCGATTTGTTTTACAAAATCAGCTTCATATGTATCTATTGTGATCAATGTGGATGTGATGTGGTACATTAAGAGTGAATAATATGACGCTGAAACAAAATAAGCTCGGTATTTACTTTGTGTTATTTTTTAGATTGACAAGCTTTTTTGGTTTTGAATAAAATAAATGCTTGTGGCTACATAGAATATTATCCTCCAATAAGGGTCCAAATTTAGTTTAAAACAAATTCTTTTTCTATCACATATTAATTCAAATGAAAATACATTTCTTTCAAATTATAAAATATAATTATCATTTTATTCCAAATTGAACCTGTGTGTCTGTGTTCATGAATTAAAAATATGTATTGAAACTTAGAAAAAAAAACCAATCACATAATTTTTCAAGAGAAAATAATTTTCTAATTGCATCCTAGGGGTGTCCTAGAAGACAACCCTTAGGACCTGGGTTTGTCTGTCCTCGTTCTTCATAGCGTCCACTCACACAAGTGAAGTTTGTTTATTCCAGTCACAAATTCAAGATGAGGGATACGTAGAAGGTGCCGTAACAGCAGAAATTATAAGGCCCACAAATGAATCTCATATACGAATCATGAGAACTCCTGATTTGCTGCTGGCAGGATCACTTCAGAAGTTACGAAGAAGTTGTTCTCGATCGTCTATACTCAGGAATGGCTCTTCTCCTATGAATGCTAAACAACTGACTGAGCTTTTGGGTTCCAGAGAGGCTCCAGATCTCCATGACTCCCATCCTTCCTTCCTTCCACTCAAGTATACTAAGCTACTTCGACTCGTCCCTATGAGTGATCCAGTAGATTCTGTGAGAATGCTGAAGGATGTGCAGTGGAAACGGAAATTTAATTTTGATTTACAGAAGACAAGGTTTGTGCTACAAGATGGGAAGTGGATGATGTCGAGGAGTCAGATAGGACGGGAAGGGGGAGCGGGAGTTATCAATTGGATGCCCCAGGGTACATCTTCGCAAGGCTGGACATAAGGCAAGGCAGCAGCGGGATTTTGTACTTCCTCAAAACAGCAGTGGACCTGCGGAGGAGTCTGGAAACAAGGTTCTGCAGATCTTGCCTGCACGCACGGGGGATCGGCCGGTCGACCATCGACAGAGTCGAGCAGAATCCAGGGTTTGATGCCAGCCAGTGCTTGGGCACAGTACCCGACTGTCGACCAGCCACTCGTGACCAGCACATCGCTGAGCGAAAGAAGGTAGATCTCCGCCCAAGCTCTCGAATCGTGCCCCGACGCGTCAGTCTTCTGCGAGGCCTCGAGGCTTAGTCGATGCACGGAGACGCTCTCTCCCCCTTCCGAAGGTCCAGAGAGGAATCGGTCTCGGAGATTTTCGTAGTAGTACTGCTGCCCAGACGTCACCAGGACCGAGATGGTCGCTGGCTCGAGATTTCTCGACATTCTCGCGAGATCCGGACCGGAGAAGTTCTTCTTCGTCGTCGTCGTCGTCACCCTGGGAAGCAGATGGTGATTCCTGACACATCGATGGATCTGCTCGGCGACGGTAGGCGGCGGGGTGGCACCGAAGGTCCGGACATGGATCCCGACCTGATGATCGTGGTCCGCGAGGTAAGCTTTGCGGAATCGAGTGATCCAGCCCCATACGGCATCAGAAGGGTGCAGAAGATATCGGCCCAGCAGATGAAAAACCGCTTCCTTGTCTCGGAACAACAAATCAAGCTCCGCGCGGAACTGCGAGACGAACAGCAGTCCCGGCACGAAGTAAGCATTCGATCTCAGAAACAGCCACGGCTTCGAGTCCAGCTGATCTTGACCTCGGTCGCAGAAAAACACTTGATCCTTGTCGTCGGAGGTCTGCGTCAGATGGACGTAAGAGAATTCGGCCGTGGCTGTCGGTGAGGCGTGGTCGGAGACGCTGAATTTGTGGCCGAATCGTCGCGGCGAAGACTCGTTCAATGTCCGAGTCCAGTCCCGCGTGATCTCTGTCGGAAGGAGCCACGAGGACCGGGGAATCGGTTCGCAGAACAGCTCGCCCATGTCCGTGCTCCCATCGACCAGAAGAGTTCGGTTCGTGAGCAGCGCGTATAAGAAAGTGGAGACGAGAGTCATGAGTCTGTTCCCCATGCCGCTGTAAGCGATCCACACCACGTACCGGCATTCGTCCCTCGATCCATTACGCGCTTCAGAGCTATTTCCTCGCCTTGCGAAGTCTGCATCCGGTCGAAGAAATTCATCCATCGCTCGGCCGGCGCATCGACGGTGTTGGATCTCATAGTTTCGCAGTTTCTGGACGAGCTCTCGGGACGGCTGCGGCTCGTGGCGGCTCTGTCTGTGTCGTCGTCGGTGATGGGCTCGACTTGCACAAGAGTCGCTCTGGAATTCAGATGGCTCAGCCAAGAGACTCCTCAGCGTTGGGTCCACTCCTTCATCCTCTTCTTCACTCGATCCGTCCGATTTGCTTTGATCCGTCCTCAGAAACAGAAGTTGCTCGTCCGACATGCGAAACTTTCTGAGAGAGACTGGAATTATTGGGAACGATGCGGACGACGGGTCATCGTAGCAGGCGAGAGAGAACACGCTCGAATACAGAGACAAGGCTGCGAGGGCGAAGAGAAATACGCTTGCCAGTTGCATTGGGACTCTGATTTTGTTCTCGTCTGATACTGGCGAGTGAACAGACTTCCTTGACAAGTGAGGCCCTGTACATTTCTGTTTCTTCATTCGATGTTTGACAGAGTTGGAATCTTCAAGCAATCTTTCCTACGATGAATCGTCTCGAGCTCTTGTGCTGCTCTCTATGTCAGCATGCTCAGTAGAACTAACTGTTAATTTGAGTGTGACACCGGGCTGAAAAAACGGAGAGGGAAGAGTCAGGAGTGAATTTGGGACAAAACGAGATTGATTTGCTGCGAGAACTACACTCCTAATCCGGAATGGTTTTCACAAGTATTGGACTGAAATGCTCGGGCCATATATATGTATCTACGCACGCACAAGGCTCAGCGATTCCAGCCTCGAGAGGCAATGAGTCGTACTAAAGATGCAGAACTCGCGTGATTTTATGATAGTAGCAACAAAGTTTCCAGATCGGAATTTGGACTTGTTTCTTGATTCTTGGCGATTTGTTTTACAATGACGATGTTGTCGACATCGAAAGTGCATAAATTCCTCGAGTTGTAAATTTGTGTCGTCAAGGGTCGGCTATCCGTTTCCGAAGCCCGTCCGTCCTTCATATCTGATTCTGAAACACGTCCATTCCAAATCCGTCCTTCGACCGACCAGTTCAGAGTTCAGAAGAGTTCTTTCGTTTTCTTCCTCACAATAATGTACTCGTGGCTCGACGTCTTTATGATACCGAGCGACTTTAGTACCCCAAAGGACTCATATGCAGTAAGCACAAATCTACCTTCGACGGCATACTTCAAATTAGACGTGTTGCTGATTTGAATCAACTGTATACTCACTTGATTGGAAAAAAAGTTCTCGGACGACTTTTCGACATGTGCCTGCCATTCATGCCTCTGTCAAAACAGTCACCGACGTACTGTTTGTGTATACTTGCAACTTTAACGGCTGACTTCTACTTTGCTGTGTTTTCCACCTAGCATCGGATCTTCCTCCGATGGCATGTACTATTAAAAAAAATAAGAGCCCTATCCATCAGTCAGTGCAACTTTAGCACGTAAAATACAAACTCAAATATTAGGAGAGTACGTATCAGAAGACCAATATTCTACTTATATTTGAATCAACCTCTGTTCCTCTTAAAAGTCTGAGTTCTTGCGTGCAGTTTAACAGTCGATCGTGCATGAAGCATTTTAGTATGAGGGAGTCACGCCATGATGAGATGAAGTACTCTTCTTCAGTTTTTCGGGTGAAAGACGTTTTCTTCTCTGAACTCTTTACAAATCAGCCAGTTTCTTTTTCCGTATTGTACAGTAAAGCGATTCTATGTGCACCGCCTTTCACAAGTTCTGGAATCTGTCCTGGGAGCTGAGTATGAAACACCCTTCTCTGTATCAGCTACCGGAGACGATTCCATGACTCGTGGGCGTGAGAACACGCCGTTCGATTCAAAGGCGAATAAGAGTTTAAGAGCTTTAAGGAAAGTACACCAAAGTCAACAAAATATGGATGGAGTTCATCTCTCCTAGATCCAGCAGTACTGTACTCTGAAGTGAGAGGGTGTACGAACGATGAATCTGTACTGTGATAAAACATATTGGCGGCAAGATTCTCTTTTTTCATCTTGTGAAAGTCGCCTTCAACGACGAGAGTCTCCCGTTACCGAGAAAGCAGTTCTTGTTGTTGATAAGATGTGTTTGTCAATCTTGCAACCACTTCATATATCACACAAAAGAGTATCTTTGTCGCATGAAGATGTATGTAGGACATTTTCAGTCCACCGAGCGAAACGAGGCCTCAGGACCAGACCATGATAGCAGGTAAAGTATTAGCAAATCTTGAAGCTAAAGCCAGAACTGATGGTCCAGAGCCTCGGCAACGAAAGTGCTTAAATATGCATGCTAGAGTTCCGAAATCTGTAGATTTTGACCAGTCTAGCGCATATTTCAAATCTTGAAGTCAGAGAGGCTAATGAGTACGAGGAGTCGTTCAGAGGAGTTCGTTAATCTAAAGGACGAGGGTCTCCGTGGCGAGATCCACATGCTGTTCTAGGGTCTTGAAGACCTACGTAAAGAAAAAAAACCATGATTTTAGCATTAAGTCAACAGAATCAGATATATCGGGTGGTTATAGTGGAAGGCCACATGTTAGTCTGGACGAGCACTAATACTTCTGATACCTAGAAAGAGTGGTCTCCTATGTCCGTTTTCTCATTTAGTATGATATCGACATTCTGATTTTTTTGATTGTATATAACCCTTCGTTTTATGGCTCCCATTAATAGAATCGAGGGCCACCGCAGTCAGATCAAAGCGTAGGTGAAGTTGAAGAATCACGTCCCAAGTGCGAAGGTCTGCATAGGATTCCACAAACTCATTTTTCCACGTCTGTATACCGATTGGTGACAGCATACCAATCAGCGTGTATTTTGGTCCTTATCGAGCTCGGAGAGGTACCATCTTACGCGCTCCAACTCGAACATAGAGCTAGGTACACGCAAACGTACCGAGGTCAGAGATGCCCTGTTTTGACTCTGGCGGTTAGAAAAAACTTGCGCCTAATTAATGAGGTCCAACTGTTGTTAACCCCTTGCCGCTAAGTGTCAATCTAAGTTCTGGGCGGTGATGCTTAACCTTGATGACATAGGAATGTAGCACTACCAATGCAAACCTTGCACAAAGATAGACAACGTTTTGGGTAGCTCGCTTGAAGCACAGAAGGGACTTGACCATGTGAAAGTGTACATGACTTTCTCGGTTATATAAATAAAAAAGGTGGAACTCCTTCTTTTGTGTCTCGCAAAGATAGAGGTCTACAACTTTTGAGGCAAAATGTGTATGTCTTGAATGTACGTACACATCACGATACAATCGGCCCTAGATTCGCGGAAATTGTTACTACTCGAATTTCAAAGCTCTTTCTACACTCTACATAGGAATAAATATACAAGGATATCTAAGTAATAATCATTGATACTGCATAATTGCTATTTTTGGACATAATACAAAGAACTCTAAATCAGCTTCATCAAACGATCTGAAAACTAATTTAGCTACTTATCAGACATCTCAAGGAACGGCTTGCACTATTTTCGAGAGATCCATCACCCTGAAGCCGAAGGCATTGACTCTAGGAAGGCTTGAAACTTCGAAATTACAAATTCGAAGTTCAGTCGTTTCTGATTCCCGAGCAAATCGAAACTAGCATCACCAAAGGACTACAGGCACGCAGCCAGAATGAGTCCCATCATTCTTGGGCTCTGAAGACCTTGATTGATTTGGTCAGCCGTGGGATGTCTTAAGACCAAAGGCGATCTGTTCTGCCAATGGGAGCAGGGAGGGAATTCCATTTGAACTGAAATCAGATTCGTATTCTTCCAACCGAGCACTTCTAAATGTCGAGAGTGGGCAACCTGGGTCAATCTTTATTTACGAAAAATGTGAAACCCTTCCAATCAAACTGAGAGCAAAATCTCACCTAAATCTATGAAAGAAATTGAGGAATGGATAGTAGATCCTCGACTATGCATATGGTAATCACGGTTGACTCTATGCTTTGACCAAATCGAGCGCACGCCAAGAAAACCTTGGCCTTCGATCATAAGACTGAATCTTTCAAATAAAAAATCTGGAATCTGGAAAATTTGACATATTTCTTTGAAATTTTCAGTGCAAAAGCAAATCTATCTGAGGTGGAACTCGAGCACCACCATCTTGATGAGATATAATGGCTGAAAACCTGATTCAAATTTATCCATATTCAACAGACTGGCTCAAAAGCTCATCACTCGGTCCTACTCTGGCTACTTGACTCGATTGTTGTTGGGAACTTGCATGGATGCATGTAATAAGTACATGAGCGGTATTGGAACGAGAAAAGTGCTGTTTAAGGAGACCAAGTGGATGATGACCGGTTCAGACCATTAACGATCCGAGTTTGAACGTTCAATGAACGGCAAAGGCATGAGGAGTGCGCCACTTCTTGAAGACCTACTGCTTGAAGACTAAACAAAAACACCAAGATCCTCGCGAGAAGTTTACTGCTCACATTCATCGCCAAACTCTATATCAGGGCCTCTTTTAGGGGTGCTTCCCTCAGCAACAAACAGTTGCACGCTACCACCACCATACGCACGTTTTTTTTTATCCATATCATCTTCAAGAGAACCTTGATACGTCTCATGGGAGTATCCATCGAAGTGTGGAATCGGTGAGGAGATTTGGGTGCTCGAACTGACAGTGTCGATTCAGAGTTCCTCAATTTCAAAATTCTTTGATTTGGTCTGTGATGCTTATTAACATTGTGGTACCCACTTCGGCGATGTGGTTCTGAACATTATTTTTCTGGTTTCATTCGAAGCACTGCAAAGTGTGGACCAGTGTTCTGTGGAGGAAAAAAAACTTTCATTCCCCTGTTTTGAGCATTATTACCGCCTGAGCTGCACGGTGGACGTGTCTGGGCTGAGGTTCAGGCCGTGTGGAATTTTAAAATAGCTGCAAACGCTGCTATTTAACTCCACACGTAATAACAGAATGGTCTGCAGCTCTTCTGCAAATAGCCGGAGGATAAGTTAGGAACAGGAAGAATTCAATATCGTATCAAAGTTTGGATCGACCACATAAACCTCAGTTCTGTTATTTTTTCCTCTCAATTCGAATCGTTCTGCTCCTAGTTTACGACTGAACGTAAAGACTCGATTTCAATCCTCATGCTGCTGGTAGTTAGCATCTAGTACATTCCTGGATACCACATATCGAGGCTCGAAGACTCTCTATCATTTGCCTTGGTTTTAAACCGAAAACTTTGTATGATATTGTGCCGGAATATCGGAGCATTCAAAAATTCATCAGGAGTTCCTGGATCCTTTTCAACCATTGTAATTACATTGGTAATCTGAAGAAGGTCTGCATGGGGAAAGAACAACCCTCGAGCTCGAGCCTGACGGGTGATGTGAACGGGAGTCGGGAGAAGATGGCGACCAGAGTTCTGTCTTCCCAAGAGAACTTCGAGAAACTGATGGCAGATCTGGCAAGACCCAACGGCCACGTATACAGCCAAAGCCAAAGCCAAAGCGGATCGGGCCAGAACGGTGCGGGGACGAGCATCGTGGCAAAGAACACTGCGAGCATTTTGGCCATCGGGAAAGCCCTGCCACCCAACCGGATCTGTCAGAGCACTTACACGGACTTTTACTTTCGAGTCACTCACTGCTCCCACAAGACGGAGCTCAAAAACAGGATGCAAAGAATCTGTAAGTTTGCGTCTCAACTTTTTAGCCTCTACTACTCCTCGACGCTAGATTGGCTACCTGACACATCATTATGCATGCTTTGCAATCACGCAGTGGACCGATGCAGGGCTTGATTTTGTCCTCGTTTTCAACTCTGTCTATATATGCTGATTACTATCTTCTGCTATCTTCGTTTCAAAACCTTGGCGTGCATGGACCCATATTTCTGTTAGAACTCGTCTTAGTTCATGCGTATTGAGCGGCACTCATGACATCGTTTTCACCTGAGTGATTGATTGATTTTCTCTCGGGTGGTCGAGCTTCTCACGAGAGTTGGTCAAATATATCCGCTCGATTTTTCACATCCGGTTTCAGATATCTCTTCAGTGCACTCAAGAGACTCGTAGCTTTCTTTTCATAATGGTAGTAATCAGTACTCCCTGGTCTGTAGATTAGGCTCGACTTTTGGTGCTAAAAATGAGATCAGCTGAGATAAATGCAAAAGTAAGTAAAGTAAAGTAAGACATCGATCGAAGTTAGAATTGTTTACAGAGCAGACCATTCACCGATTACACCTGAAGGAATGCAGTTTTGAACCGAAGAGAACTGTGCCAGTACGATATAATATTACAAATCTCCTCTAAAAGCTCGAAGATTCACTCGGTCCTAGAAAGACTTTCATCCATCTCCAAATCAATCCCCTTCAAAACGGCAGTGATATCATGCTCCAAAACACTCGGCGCAGAAAAGAGAAATTCTGCGACTTTTTGCATGGGAATGGCAGCTGAGTGATGTGGGCATGGCGTGCAGGCGACAAGTCGGGGATCAACACCAGGTACCTGCTGCTGGACGAGGAGGCGCTGAAGGAGCACTCGGAGTTTTACACGCCGGGCCAGGCGAGCATCGAGCAGCGGCACGACCTGCTGGAGGAGGCGGTGCCGAAGCTGGCGGCGCAGGCCGCAGCCAGCGCGCTGGAGGAGTGGGGACGGCCGGCCTGCGACGTCACGCACCTCATCGTCGTCACGCTGAGCGGCGTCGCGATCCCCGGCGCCGACGTGCGCCTGGTCAAGCTGCTGGGGCTGCGCGAGGACGTGAGCCGAGTGATGCTGTACATGCTCGGCTGCTATGCCGGGGTCACAGCTCTCCGGCTGGCCAAGGATCTGGCGGAGAATAATCCCGGCAGCCGAGTGCTCATAGCCTGCAGCGAGATGACTGCCACGACGTTCCGAGCTCCGAGCGAGAAATCCATGTATGACATCGTCGGAGCTTCGCTGTTCGGCGATGGAGCGGTGGGAGTGATCGTGGGAGCCAAGCCCAGGCCCGGCATCGAGCGATCGATTTTCGAAATTCACTGGGCCGGCGTCTCGCTGGCTCCTGACACGGAGCATGTGGTTCAAGGCAAGCTCAAGCCCGACGGATTGTACTTCTTCTTGGACAAAAGCTTGCCCGGGCTGGTGGGCAAGCACATCGCGCCCTTCTGCCGGAGCCTGCTGGACCATGCCCCCGAGAACCTGAACCTCGGATTCAACGAGGTCTTCTGGGCCGTGCACCCCGGCGGTCCGGCCATCCTGAACACCGTCGAGGAGCAGCTGCTGCTGAATTCCGAGAAGCTGAGGGCCAGCAGGGACGTCCTGGCCAACTATGGCAACGTTTCTGCTTCCTCCGTTCTGTACGTGCTCGATGAGCTCAGACACCGACCCGGGCAAGAGGAATGGGGCGCTGCCTTGGCTTTCGGACCGGGAATTACATTCGAGGGAGTTTTGCTTCGCAGAAATGTGAATCATCGATAAATAGATTCAGTGTCGAACAAAGAACTGCACGACGATAATAACCCAAACCCATTACCCATGTACTGCAGCAAAACATCTCTCCAAATTTCCCACCAATCTCTAGCTACACAATATGAAATTTATCCACGGAGTATATATCATCAGCCGCTTTGGTCAGCACCCTTTTTTCGTTACGCTTTCGTTTAGCCATAATGATGCAGGCCTCTAGTCACAAGGTTAGCTAGAGGCCAGAGTAAAGATGATGTCATTTAGATTGGTAACTTACGTTTCTATCGTGGCTCCTCGATTTCAGGTCCTGCTTAATACATGAGTACTGTGTGGTACCTCAGAGAGTAGTCAGCAGGTACCCGGAAGTCAGGCTTTTGATAAATAAGCTCCAGTTTCTTGAGCCTGAGAAAGATTACTGAGTCCAACTGAGTTAAGTGTTCACGAGACGTTGCAATCATTTCTAGAATAATTCTGGCTTTATTATTCACTTGCAGATTTTATGTCATGTCATCCTTTATATGGCAACGTATTGGACCATGCATGACGGAGCCATGCAGGACGGAACGTTCTTGGAAATCTCAATAGACCAGAAAGTCTAAACTCATAATATGACTCCAAGTGAGAGCGCCTCGTCAAAGCCTAAGAAGTCTACAAGAGTGACTCACTCCGAAGCAAATTGTACGTCAGAATCTCCAGAATTAGCTATTAATGTTTTGGTGAGACCCACTCAAGTATATGGGGAAACTCCCTCGCTCAAGATCGAAGTCACGACATAATTCTCGATTCAGTTCTCCATCAACTGCAGCTTCACAGTGTGTGCAACACGAGTTTCCTCTGTCATTGGCGTGTAGAGACCTCGATGTTTATGCTTTCATGCTAGTTTTACAAACGGGACATACAGAGAGAACCCAAAGAACCAACCGCTCGATGATCTTCTGAAGGCTACTGTCATAAATATCGAGAATCTTGAAGGAAAGCAAGCTTAAGAGATGATACTTCCAGTTGACTCCTTGTAATGCAGGTCACATAAAGTCTAGCTCAGACCTAAGTGTCCAATTTCACAAAGAGCCTGAGATAATCATGTCGATCGAGCTTTCATGAAGGGGCTCATCTATCCTTCTACTTGGAATAAACACAATTCAGACAGCTTGAGGATCAAAGGTTATGGATGTCAGCACGACAGCTCTCTGTTCAATAGATGGTGAAAGTCAGATACGAAATTCCTTAGATTCGCACCATAAAATGATTTTTTAAAGGTCATCGAATGCTCTCTCGTCGGAGTGAGGGACCGAGTCGGGATTCGATTTCGAGCTAGGTGCAATCCGGAGTTCGTGGTAAGCGCTTTCCCTTCATCTCATCGTCACCCTATCCTATCGCAGTTCTACACCAAAACCTGTCCCGGCATACGGCTAAACCCACTCTTCTCAAATAGACGCTTGTGTGATGATGATTCCCATTCCAAAAGCGGGCTCTGCCTGCTCCTAAAAGCTGATGAATCTCCTCCTACTTCCGGAAGAATCCCTGCGTATTTGTCGTGTTTTGTGGTCATGATGGCGGTTGTGATTCAATTTTGTTACCATCGAGGTGCTGCATATGTCTGCTAATAATGAGATTATTTCGTTCTGGAAATCATAACCCGAACGCAGTTCCGACGGATATGATATTATGAAACAAAGATCGATATTGCAAACGGAAATATTGATCACGGTCATTGAATAGAAACATGAACGCCTGCATCAGACCAAATGGAGACTGAATTGTATCTTGATATGAAAATATACGCAATATTGAGCACTCAACTGACAGCAGCACCCTAAGATCTTAGAAGAGTAAATATACCTTTTCGCTTGGGGAGAACTATTGGACTGGAGCAAAACTACAAATCGGGCTGCCTACCCGGCTCATGATTTTCTTCCGGGTTAGAATTTTCTCTCATTTATGCATGCCAAACTATCTAGAAGATCGCCCGCTCAAGTCTTGAAAATGTGGCTGGAATTTCTGTAGAGGTTTAGAAACCAAGCAAGGCTTTTCGAGACGCGATGAAAGGATTTCGTTTGTGTGACTGCATTTTGATCGAGCGAGTCACTGTGACAAGTCTATCTTCTCATGATTAAGATGGTAGTTAGTCCCCGAGTCTATCTGAATATCACGAGCAGGTAAAGTCTTTATCGTCGATGCATGAGCTGAAATAGATAGGTCTACGAAAGTGCTGTCGTCAATTCCCCGTGTAGCCATTGGAGTGGCTTCCAGTCTTCGCAGTTCGAGTAGCGACCCAACGATTTCAAGAACCTACTCCGATTTCGAAGACTCTCACCCTCAAGCTACTGTCCTAGCGTAAGCTCGAGCTTGGATACTCTACTCGCCAACCTCCGAATGCGCTGTCCGAAGAAAGACGAGACAAACGACAGAGGAGGGTTCAACATTGCAAATCCTCGACCCGGGCCTAGGAAGCCTTGAAGTGGACAAAAGCCCGAATCGTACGTACGAGCATTCAGCAGTCTCAGATTTGTGAGCTGGCTGTGATGTGTGTCCGAGAAGATCGAGAGAATCGTCAGTCATTTCATAATCCGCAAGCTTTTTCAACCTAGGCTTACAGTTAAGTGCAAGTACAGCAGAGAGAATCGAGAACGGCCAGGGGAGAATTGGGTCGACGTCAAGAGGGGCCCGGAGACGATCGACCTGAGACAGCGTTCTCTTGTTGTTTAGAGTATTCTCTCATGAATGCGCTGGCTGAAAAGGTGATCCGCACCTCCGTCATCGTCTTGACCGGAGTTACTGGAAGTGTTGTTGTGGACATATTCTGCAACGTCGACGAGGGCCCAGAGTTCAATGCTCTTATCCCCCTCCCACTCACCAGATCAAAACGAACATATAATTTCCTTCTCAGCCATGATAGACATTCTCCGAGGTCGCCCAGCCCTGGGCCCGGCCACAGCTTCGCTGCCAACACGCGCACATGGATCGCTCATTTCTCTCAAATATAGTCAATGTCATAATTGGCATGATTGCAGGTCCGGTTCCACCATGTCATCTGCCTTCCCGTGATCTCAGTGGCTGGGCCGAGTGGTCCTCCAGCAGGATGACTAGATTCTTTGACGTCAACGAGGGCCCAGAGCTGATTGATTGCCTTGTCCTCAACACTGTCCGCCTGGACACAGAGAATCGAGACTTGGGCCCATGCACGACTCGTTCACTCGCTGGTCTCGATTTGTTGTTAGCTTAAGGGAGTGCGAGCAAGACGCTTACGCTACTCGGGGCCCATATCGAGACTGGATCGGTCTATGGACGTTTTCTGAATAAGCCCCTCGTCAAACTTTCTGTGGGTCTCGACGGGTGCCCGAAACTGCAGCTAGCAGCTCAAGAACGAGCTTTGTTCCAACTCCCCTGAACCCTCTATTTTTCGCCATGTATTAATCTTAATTATGCTGCGCCTTTAGCAGCCCCGACACAAGCTGTAGAGACCAGTGGAATCAACTTTTAAGGTTTGTGCTCGAGAGTGATCCAAAGCTGCATAAGAATTAAAAGGTCACAGTCTAAAAAATAAAGTCAAGGTGATCGGCGTAGCAAGCAAGCCAGCGAGCCAGCGAGGAACTTTCGTTTCTGCCCGTAGAAGGTCCATGGGAGGGAAGGTGAAGATGTAGAATGGTGGACAGATGAGCTTCACTAGAACTGAGCACAGCTAGGCACCACCAAGACTCGAGAGGTCTGGCATGTCTTCAAGTCAAGCTGATCGGATAATGCCGCTGACAAAGGCTCCTCTTGAATCCCGATCGTCACCATGCTCGGCTTGACTTCGAATAATTCGGTCTTTAAAGTGGCGATCTAACAGCCTAATTTCAACCGCAGCTTTTCGAGAACTGTGAACGATATGGGGCAATTGTGTGGTCAAGCCGAAATGGATCCTTTCCTGCACAGAATGCATGGGCTTGAAGTTCCTGTTGAAAGCGTTCTTTTTATGTTCGTAGAGGCACTCCAGGATCTCGGATCCCAGGAGAGAGGGAGGCAGGGACGCAAGGGCAGGTACAGCATAGCTGCGCGGGCAATTGATCGGACGACCAGCATATGGAAACGTCGACGTTGAAGAGGGCTTGACTCGTGGCGAAGTCAGATTGTGCAGACGAGATGAGACGAGAGGTTGGCGAGACGGCGACTGCTAGACTGGCACTCGGGCGCCTCGTAGACTTCAATCAGAACTCTAGCATCTCGTATCGAAACGGTCGAACTGGCCCCCCATAGGAGCTCCGAACCTTTTCCAAAAGCTACTCACGAAATCCACGTGACAAATGGAAGACCGTGCACAATTGAGGCAATTCTCTTTCCGAACTCATCGAACGACTTGGGTCTCCTGAAAATCTAGTGACCTCGATCGCTTCAGATGATTATAATGAGATACCTCATATGGTTTTCTCGGTGGCAAACTCTTCCTGGTCTGCATTTCATACAATCACTACTTATCCAAACTCGAAAGTTAATGATAAAAGTTCTTCTCTCGAAAGTCTCGCTACTTTCCCCATCGACATCATTCCTTGACTCGAGCGAAACATGAGAGGACGACTCTACAGCTACATCGGTGGACACCTGCTTCCATGTCTTCGCATGGAATCGCCCTCCTTCCGGCCTGGCGGTTTGTTTTACCTGCGAGCTTCATCATTGTGGAATTCAGTCCAGACAGAACGAATGATCACATTGTTGCAACAAAGAAACTCTGGATCGACCAAGAGTTAGTAGACCCTCCTGGCGCGGCAGGAACACTTCGTAGGAACACATCGTATCTCCCGATGCTGAAAAGTTCTTTTCAATTCGGTTGACTAAATATGGTGTCACTCAAACATCTATCAAGTCTCAATATACGTGACATTATTTAGATCTTCGCACGCAACTGTCAATTGTGTTTTCAAAATTAGGCGAAGTGTACACTTTTCTTATCCTTAACAAAATACCTCACCTTTCCATATGTTTTTTGATTTTGTGAAAACTTTTGACACTAGTGCTAAATGCATTCACAGATCGACGTTAGAAGTTGTATGTCATAGAAAGTCTACAAGCAATCACATTTAAGAATTTTGTGATATGCAATATTTTCCAACTTGATTTTAATCATCCATATGGATTTATGATATTACTCAGATGTTCAATCTGATCATAAAAACTTACAGCTTTAAAGTTACAGTCAACTAAGATTTGAGAAGCCAAATGCCAACCTATTTCTTCCTATCATATCTCATGCTTTATCGTTAGCACTAAACAAAAGAATATAAATGATTTTGTCATACGTATTAATATAAGTTAAATAATATTGATAATCATCATACAAGTTTGAAAATTTATAGGAAATTTGCAAACTTGTAGAATGATGAACGTATTGCAATTTTTGCAAGAATTTTAATCATGATAAAGAATCAAGCTCTCATGAAGAAGACATTTTTTATTACTCTATCCAGCCATTAATGCAAAGACACAAGTAATAGTGATAGTAGTAT